AATAGAGGAAAGAAAAGGTAAATTTAAAAACACACCATGCACTCTGTTCTAAATGGGGCTGGACCATATTTTGGGGTCAACAGCCCCAGACCTGCTGGAACAGCCAGGTTTTAGTGGCCTTACGGAAGGCCGAAAGAGTGGGAAGGGTTCGGATCTCTGCGGGGAGATCATTCCACAGGGCCGGGGCAGCTACAGAGAAAGACCTCCCCCGAGTAGTCGCCAACCGGCATTGCCCGGTCGATGGTACCCGAAGGAGGCCCAATCTGTGCGATCTTATAGGTCGTTGGGAGGTGTGTGGCAGGAGGCGGTCCCGTAGGTATCCAGGTCCCAAGCCAGGTAGGGCTTTAAAGGTAACGACCAGCACCTTGAAGCGCGTTCGGAGACCGATGGGGTGCCATTTGCACCCACTTTGGGGAGACAAAAAAGTGCTTGCAGAGGGAAAAATAGGGTAACCAGTGGAACAGGTATGCCTTCAGAAGTTGTAGGTGCTTCATCACTGGAAGTTTTTAAGAAGAGACTGGACAGCCAATGTATCTGAAATGATATGGGGTCTCCTGCTTGGGCAGGGGGTTGGATTACAAGACCTCCGAGGTTCCTTCCAGCTCTATTCCCATTGATTGATCTGATTGTAGATTCTCCCAAGTTCCTATTGGGCAGCAGTAAGATTCATAATCTTCATGGCTTAGGAGCCAGGAGGAGGTCTTCTTCATTCAGTTGACGTTACAGGTGGCCCTCCACTTATGAGCCCAAAATGTCTGTTGCTGAGTGAGACATTTGTTAAGTGGGTTTTCTCCCGTTTTACGACCTTCCTGGCCACACTTGTTAAGTGAATCGCTGCAATCGTTAAGAAGTCAGTAATACGGTTGTTAAGTGAATCCGGCTTCCCCACATTGACTCGGCTTGTCCGAAGGTCGCAAAAAGGGGATCACATGAACGCCGGGACACTGCAACTGTCATAAATACGAGTCAGTTGCCAAATGTCTGAATTTTGACCACGGGGATGCTACCACGGTCGCTGAGTGTGAAAAACGGTCATAAGTTACTGTTTAGAGTGCCCTTGTAATCTCGAACGGTCGCTGAGTGAACTGTTGTAAGTCGAGGATTAGCTGTGCTTCATAATCTGTTGGTGGGATTATTGGAAGTATCTCTTTGATCCTTCTGGTCTAGGTGGATCTTTGTTCTGACTGAACAACCTTTTCCCAAAAGACAATAATGATGTGCCAGAATGGAATGGAGTAGTCCAGATATACTAAAGCAGCTTTTTTATCTTACCAACTCACTGGAGAAGTGTGGATCCTTCCCATTGGGGTCCCTTCCATGCCCAAATTATTAAAAGAGTTATGACATCGTACCAGAAGTACATAAGGCAGTGTTTCTCAACCTTGGCGACTTTAAGTCCTGTGGACTTCAACTCCCAGAATTCCCCAGCCAGCTGTGCTGGCTGGGGGATTNGAACACTCTTCAGGGGCAGCCCCAAGTAAAGCGCATTACAGTAATCAAGCCTAGAGGTGAAGAGAGCATGAGTGACCAGGTAGTCCTTGACTTATGACAATTGAGCCCAAAATGTCTGTCGTTAAGTGAGACATATGTGAAGTGAGTTTTGCCCCATTTTACGGTTTTCCTTGCTACCTTTGTTAGGTAAATCCCTGCAGCTGATAAATTAGAAACACGATTGTTAAGTGAATCTGGTTTCCCCATTTGAGTTCGCTTGTCGGAAGCTCACAAAAAGAGGATCACATGACCCTCCTGGGACACAGCAAAGACCATGAAAATGAATCCGTTGCCTAGCACCTAAATTTTGATGACATGATCATAGGGACACTGCAAAGGTCATAACTATGAAAAACGGTCATAAGTCACATTTTCCAGTGTGGTCACTGAATGAACTGTTGTAAGTCGAGGACCCACCTGTACTTGGGATGCTCCAACTGAGAGGGATTACTGGGCTACCCAGAAACTATCAGAGAATTCTTCCCAGACTATTAATCAAGGGGAGAGGTTCCTATTTTCTGTGAAGATGCTGTATTAATCCCTGAACCCTTCAGTTGCAGGAATTTGGGGCAGTGGGCACTAGGAAGGACCCCTGCCTGAAGCCCCATGGCCAGAGTAGAAAAATCCAACAAAGATAGGCCCAAGAGACAAAGAGTATCTGCCTACATTTGGACTGCTGTTAACAGTCACATTTTAAAGACTGGTTTATCTTTTGTTCCGTTTTTGATACCTTCAAGCAATTTGGAAAACTGCTGTGAAGTTTCTTTACATATCCTTTAAAAAAAAAAACAATTAAATTGCTCGGGACTATTTGGCAAGCTAACCAGGTGCCAAAACAAGGGCTGACTGTGGAAAGTGGTTTCCCGAAGGGTTTGGAGAACTTGTACAGTTGCCAACCATGCCCAACATTTCCCCGCCTGATCCAACAAGCAAAGGAAGGGGAGGAAACGTTTCCTAAGCGTAGTAGCTTAAAATCCTTTGCCCATGCGAATGAGAAACTGAAAAGCGCATCAAAGATGCACATTGACAACTGGATATCCCCTTGGAAGTTTCCATGTGCTCGTGTCAGTTCTGACTCAGCAGTTGAAACTTGAGGAATAGCCAAGGTTTTCAAAGGACACTTGGAAAATCTGACCTTGGGGTTTCCTGTTAGACAGAAGACTGTGGGATGTTCTCTCTCTCTCTCTCTCTCTCTCTCTCTCTCTCTCTCTCTCTCTCTCTCTCTCTCTCTC